ACATATTTGGAAGAAGGCTGCCAGAGCAGCAAACTTCTGAATATCCTGAGAGAGGACATCCAGCCAGCTGGCTGAGACAAACCCCACCTATGGATCTGTGCCAGGTCTTAGAACACAGGTTGTGAGACACAAGGTTGACATACAAACCCTCAACCAGAAGAGCATGAGAGGCACATGAACAATGCCTCACCATGGTCACAGAAGAGAGCATGTGATGCACACTGCCAGCAGGACAAACTAAGCATCGATGACAAGGGACCTCTCTGCTGAAGCTTCATTCTTAGCAAGACATGACAATGTTACAAAGAAAAGATGAACCCAGCCCAAAGACACAGAACCCCTACTTTCAGTGAAGAATGTGAAGATCCCCAACCTGACAGATGGTAAGCAAACCCAGAAAAACTGGGTGGCTCGATCCTTCAACTGCACATCACAAAAAAATCTAATTTAAAATTCCAGCAGGTACGCAAGGCTAACATTTGATTACCCGGGCTTTCAGTAAACAGACGTCATTTTCGGAACAAAGAACCAGCGTTGTATGTAATGAAACGCTATTTTTCTCTGCGAGTCCTGGAGCTATCCAGGCTGAATGGATATGTATAACTTTCTGGCATCAGTCACTGTGCACAGAGATCTTGTCTACCGGGAACCATGAGCCAGAACCTAGCCCCCCTCGTGAGAGGCACAAGGAGTAATGGCCTATAGAAACCCCCCGTGTGGTTGGGAGCATTCTATGTCTGCCATCGACCGGATCTGGCCCCCCAGAAAGGTAGGCGCCCCAAAACAAACCCCTATTCTAGTGAAACTATTGCTACTGAAAGTCGAACGAGTGGACAGAACTCCCTATATGAAAATTAGCAAACGAGCATGATGTCAACATGTCGCTGCGCCGCTGTCTGCATAATCCCCAAATCCCCGGGAGGGGGAAGGGGGGACACCCTAGATCTCCATGCCAGCAATCCACCCTGCAGTTTCTAGGTTGGATGTCAAAATATGCGAAAACACCACCCACTGGAGGGAGGGAGGGATGCCGGGGAGCCTCTGGGACTCGCCCAGAAAATGGGGTTTCATTACATTCAATGCTGGTTTTCTGGGGAGAGCCCCGTCAGCTCCCTGGAGCTAACTACCCAAAGACAAGGAAAAACAGGGACTTTGCTGGGCGGCGGTTAGTCCTCACTCCTTAACCGAAGCAGAGACAACTGGCTTCAACCGCCAACCCAATTCAACACAGGCCCTACGAGGTCCAGGGACATTGACAAGGTAGCGAGCGGCCAGGACCCTGCTCGACCTCCAAAAACCCCGTGCCCGAATGCCAACCCAAGACATGTTGCCAAAGACAGCAGCCAAGGCAGAAAACTTACGCATATTGTGGGCACGAGGATAGACTGCAGGCTGGCTAGCCTTAATAATCCTGTGGACGACCTGGGAGACCCGAGCCTGGGAACAGGGAAGAAGGGAAACTGGATTAACCCACAGCGCATCCCCGACCACCAAAGCCATGACGCGCAAATAACGGCGAAGAGCCGCAACCAGACAAGACATGATGCACCCCCGGCCTGACCAACCAAACATCAACAACTCAAGGACCCCTCCGGTAAGCAGCAGTGTCATTCTTCGCCAGAAAAAAAGGAGACGGCTGCAACCGAACAAACCTACCACCAGGATTAAAAAGAGCAGAAACCCCTGCACCAGAGAAGAGCATGAAGCTCCCCGACCCGACCCCCAGAAGCCAATGCCAACAAGAAAAAGCCTTAGAAAAACAATCCTGAACCGAAGGGGCCACATCAAACCGAGGAGAAGTGAGGTAGGAGAGCACTCTGTCCAAATACCAGAATGGCTCAGGCGACGCATGAGCTGGCTGGAGGTGAAACAACGCATGAGACAGCTTGCGAAACGGTGCAGAAGTGACATCTATACCAAAAGCAAGCTGCAGCAGCTCTGCCAGCGCCGCACGATACTTGGCGACAGTATTGGGCATAAGACGACAGTCCTGGAACAACCATGAGAAAACACCTCCCAAACCGAAAGCGAAGTACAATGACGAAGAGTCAAAAAGAACTGGAAGGACCGCCAGGAAACTTCATACTGCCCCCGAGACGAAGTCCGCAGGTGGGACACCATCAATGATGCCACCTGATCACCATATAGATGGTGATAAACTCTAGTAAAAAATACCAAACTCGAGAAGAACGAACCAGTCTCGTAATGGACCAGGCCGATCTGTTGAAAGAGGCAGAGCCGCGGAAAAACCTCCGGGTTCGGACACCGGGCAACCAGCACCTGAAACCACGGCTGGGCCGGCCACCACGGGGCCCAGAGGACCACTTGCCCCAGGTAAGTCTCCAAGCGAGCCAGGACCTGGAACAACAGCTGAACCAGGGGGGAAAGAGGTACAGGAACCCCCACCTCAACCAGTCCTGCCGGAAGGTGTCGATCCCGACGGCCTCGCAGTCAGGGAAGGACGCCACATATACTGGAAGACACCTTGACCAAGCAGACGTGAAGAGGTCCACCTCCGGCAGAGCCAACTGAATGAGTCGGCGTCGACCATCCACAAGGTGAACGAACCGGAAAATGAACAGCCAGGAGAGCTAAACCCAGAGAACTAAGCAGACAAGTCACCCGAAGCGACCAGCCCCAAAGAGCCAAGGACCACACTGAACCCCTTTGGTTCAAGCAATGAACCACCGGGAAGCAGTCCGAATGGAGCCGGATCATTGATCCGCGGGCGACCCGAACCCTGCAAAGCGCAAACCACACCGCCGCGAACTCCTGCACCGTGCTGATACCTTGTTGTAGGCCCGACGGAAGGACGGACCCCCACCACCCCTGGCCAGCCTGGTGAGCACTGGTCACAAAGCCCCAGCTGAGAGACGATGAGTCCATGAACACATCGAGCATGGGCTTGGGTAGGCGCCAAGGCACTGAACCCTGAAAAACCCGAAGAGGAAGCCGGCGACGCAGCAGCCGACATAAGGACCCGGCGATTGTAAGAGAGCCGGAAGGGACATCCCTGAAAAAACCAGAACAGTCGACGAAGCCAAACCCGACCCGCTGGGTAGACCATCATTGCAAAGGTCAGGCTCCCACACAGACCCTCGAGCAACCGCCGGGTGACCCGGGAGCTCTCCAAAAACAAACGCATGCGGGACCGCAGCCGAAGGAGAGACTCCGGAGGAAGAGACAAGGAAGCAGTCTGAGAGTTCCACACAAGACCCAGCCAGGTCCGAGCCTGGGAGGGAACCAGATGGGACTTCTGCCAGTTCACATGGAACCCAAACCCGGCGAGCTGGGAAAGAACCAAATCCCTGGTGAGCAGACATGCAGACCGGCTGGGAGCCCAAACCAACCAATCGCCTAGGTAGGCCAACACCCAAACATCTAACAGACGAGTCACCGCGACCCGGGTAAGATGCGTAAAAACGCGAGGTGCTAGATTTAGATTGAATGGAAGGCAGCGAAAGCAGTAAGCTTGACACCCCACCACAAAACCTAATCTTCTGCAGAGGTAATTTTCATGCTAATTTTTGTGTTATCTGCAAAGGATCACACGAAGCTGTGACTTGCATTTTTGTCTATATCTGACATGAGAATAAGGAAAAGCAGTGGTGCAAAGACTGTACCTTGAGTTACAGAGCTTTTGTACTCTGGTCGTATGCCCAGCAATCAACGTCTCCATATCCTCCGAAAGCCAATCCGAAGAAAGCTCCAGAAGACAAAAGAAGCTCAAGACCACAGTCAAATGACTGCGATTGTGATGATCCTCACCAACCAAGGCAGCCAAAAGCACAAGGACCTGAGTATGCAACTGCAGCAACCCAACCTCACGAGAATGCTTTTACGCCCCAGCGCACATTGAGGAACTCAAGAGAGAATCCCCATCCCCCCCCAAGAAACCTTGTAACACAGAGGATACCTCACACCACTCAAGCATGTTGGTACGACAAAACCCATACCAAGCCCCAGGAGCAAAGAAAGGGCAGTCTGCAAGCCAGGAAGACTCAGGAACCTCATAGCGCACCCAATATGGGGAAAAGGAACCGAACTTGAAAGAGGCTGTGTCCAGAGTAGAGGTGAATTCCGGTCACACAGGCGGTAGGCCCCAGAGCCTCCCAATCATCCACAGGGGAAATCCAAGAGGTAAAAACCTCTGGAAAGAGGAATCTGCAGAATCCAAAGGAACCCAGAAATGAACCCGGGGGGAAACCACCCCCAAATCAAATTCGTACAGGAAAATGGGATACGAAAACCTCGAACCCTGCAACAACAACCCTTGCCCTGAAGGCACCAAAGCCCAGGCAGGGTCAAACGGGACCCAAGAGCCCCAAGCAGAGATTCCCCCACCGTGCCCCGGGAATCCCCAACACAGGCCTCAGGGCAGAACCCACATCCATGCCCAGCGCCCCTGAAGTAAAGATGGAGTCCAAGGGAAAAGTCTCAAAGAAGGGGTTTTGCTGGGAGAACCCAGAAGCCACAGCGGCATGAACAGGCTCAACCGCCTCCATACCTGCATCGTATGGGGCAGCCCCCGAAGCCGCCCAAGTCTCGTCTCGAGCTAAACCCCGCCCCCGACTCTGAAACCCCCGACTACTGCTGCTGCTGCTGCTGGCTGCTACTGTGCTGTGATTCTTTGAAAATACTTCTATTGGGTCTTCTGTGCTGGACTGAATACTGTATCTCCAGCACTCTTTAGTACCTTTAATGAGCCTGAAGGGATGTATGAAGAGCTTCCTGAAGTACCAGAGTCTAGTACTCTTTGTTACCTGCTAACCTGCTTGATGGGGTTCTGGGAGTTCTTCTACTCCCCAAGCCTGGCCCGAGGCCAGGATTGAATGTTGTCTTGCATGACTGCATAATTCTGGTCAAGTGACAGCCAATCTCTCTTGGAGCAACCAAATATGAGTGACCAGAAAATTAACATGACAACCATATAATATCCCTAATAGGAAACCCAAACAAATTGTAAAGAATTTTGTGCATGGCAGCTGATACTTTCTTACCTTTCTTTCTCTGCCAGACTGTCATAGCCCAGCACATCACTTTTATGTAGTTTTGATATTTTAGTTTTCTGTGCCCGCTTTCCAGTCATAGTTGCTACACTGCTCCCACACGTATCAAGGCTGAATTCTTTTACTCTTAAAGAAGTTTTATTGCGTTTATTTTTTTTCCGTTTTAAGTTTTTGGCCGTCATCTTGGTCACTTTGTTAATCTTCTTTGACAAACTTCCCTTTGACTTCATAGTTCTGGACGAGTCTGTTGTTGACTTTTCTTCCTCACACCTAACACCAGACCATCAGCAACACTACCTGCAACATTAACAATAAGTACAAATTAATATTAAACTTTAAATATGGTACTGTATTAAGCTCAAAGCTATATTTAATTTCAAACAAAACATACAAATTATTATCTAATAATGTACGCCATGTTTAGAGACCATTTTGCAAGGACTACTGCCTGAAAGTACTGGTAATAACATTATTTTTAGTTTTTAGTTCTTAGTTTAGTTAGGTTAGTTTAGTTAGTTTAATTAGTTTAGTTTAGCTTAACTTAGTTTAGTTTAGTTCTTTAGTTCTTTAGATTTAGTTCTCTCTGACTTAGCTCTTTGCAAACAATTCTAGTCATATTAAATTCAAACAAATTTACTACCATTGTCAACAATGTTTGAAAAGTAATATTATTAAGCAATGGAAATTTTGATGGGTAACAAGAAAATGACCCGCAGATTTTCCGCAGAAATGCTTGTGCCGTGGCCAGCACTAACACTTACAGTACTTCATAAACCTTGCAAAGCACATACCAACTCAATCTGTTCTACCCGATAATACTTTCATGTTTTCATGGTCCTCAGTGAAAAATACAAAACTGTAATGCAATTTACTAAAAAAAAAAAAAAAAAAAATGGAAACCAAAGGAACAGCAGTTAAAATAAGGATAAAACGTCTTGGTGCAGGCATGCTGACCAAGATATATATTGACTACATACACCAGAAAGACTACACTTAAAAAGACGGTATAACAAATGGAGCACTAACACAGGACTGGAGTCCCTCCAATAGCAACACATGAACACTATCAATACAACTATCAATAAACACCATCAATATCTTACAGATCTTACACAAATATAATCACCGAGAAAGGTGTCAACAAAATACATGCAGATTTTGTTATGAAAGCAATGTGGGAATTGTTGCGATCAGGCTAAGATTACGCCTTTCAAGGAAAAAACAATCAGATTAACCCCCACTGCTAATTAACCATTGAACTGCGCAACGCGCCTGCAGGCTCTCGACGGGGGGGGGGGCAACTCGCCTCCGGGATATTATAGGTACAGTTTAGCATTTGATTCAAAACTCCCGCAGCTACATGGGGTTCACATCAGCTTCCTCAGGGCTCTTGTAAACAGACACCATTTTTTTTTTTTAAATCGTGGGCAACATTCCCAGGTGTGAAGGCCTCAGTACAGTACTGAGTGGAGCAACCAAGGCTGGTGCATGCAGCACGAGCTCACAGCACTGCTGTTCAGCTTGTGACCACAGCATTGCCTAATAATGTCAAAATATATATGTAACTGGTATTATTTAGCCATGATAGTATTACAGAAGAGCCTGAGTGTGATAATGACTGTGTACAATGTTCAAATATCATTGAATCAATGCTGTTCATGATGTTCACAGCGCTAGCCACAGCACCACAGCATTATTTCGTCCATCTAGGAATCTTCAAACGATTTCTTATGTTGCTTTACAAAATAAACTTGTGGTCAATTATTCATTTACAGGATTTAGTGACCAGGATTGTGATAATAGCAGGAGTGTGGTGATAATTTGCGCTGTGCATAGTATTGTGGGAGGAGGAAGTTTGGTGATGGAGGGAATTCAGATAGCGTCACTGTGTGTGGCAGCCACTCTTGTTTTGCTCACCATACTAGCTTAGTGGTTCACTATGGTGAACACATATGTACATGGGTATATACAATGTGTGTATATACCCATGTACATATGTGCGTAGTATTGTGGGAGGAGGAATTTTGGTGAGGGAGGGAGAGGATCGAGGTAGCGTCACTGTGTGTGGCAGCCACTCTTTGTTTTGCTCACCATACTAGCTTAGTGGTTCGCTATGGTGAACACATATGTACATGGGTATATACAATGTGTGTATATAGTGTAATAACAGCAACAGGAGTATGTTGGGAGGAGCCTTTTTGGTGAGGGAGGTGGCGTCATACCCGTAGCGTCGTCTGCTGGCTGCTGTGTGATTTCTCATGCAGTGTATGGTGGCCACTATGCTGTTTGGACACAATACCAGCTTACTTGCATAGTTATGGTGAATAAAACATGTAGATACGTATACATAACGTGTGTAAATAGTGTAATAAAAACAATAACAGTATGGTGGGAGGAGGAATGTTGGCGAGTAAGGAGTAAGCTAGGTGTTGGAGGAGTGAGGGAGAGCTGGCTGGGTGTGGCAGCTCACACTCGCGGAGTTCTGAGTGTGTTGATGGTGAATGTATATAGTGTGTGATAGTGTATAGTGTGTAAATATGTTGTAAATATACATAAATGAACATGAAACATTGGATATATGAGCAATATATGTGGACACATTTGAGACACATATAACAGTGTCTTGGGACAGTATGGATGTTCTACTGCCATAATATTGTGTACGTGTTCATTATACATAGGATTGGCAAGAAAAAACAAAACAAATGTATTTGGAAATGTACGCAAAAAATGAACAAAAAAATATTTGTGGCAACTTCGCGCATGTTGAAGCTGGCGGGCGACTGGCTTCTGGAGTCTACGTCACGGGCGACCACCAAATCGTGACGTCACACACCATTTTCTGGACCCCATTGTGGCCAAAGTAAGTACAATTTTGATTTTTTTTTACATATCCGTACTCAGGGAAGGGTATTTAACATTTTCAAAAACAAAAAAAAATTTTTTCCCGAGAATTTATTTCCTGCGCACAGGGGGGGGGGGGGGTGCCGTATTTGGAAGGCAAGCAGCACAGTGGTTAAGGTACAGTTACAGATCTAATAAGATTACCCCCCCAAGATTAAACAATGCAGCAGTTGTTAAGGGGCCCGGTGACAGTATTTTTCAAAATGTGAAAAATAATGAAAAAATTTAAACAAATCTCCAGTTATTTGCCATCAGCATTGTGAAATTTTCATCCCAATATGTTAATAAACTATTTTATTTTTTATTTTTTTTTAAATAAATTCATGTGAGACTGGGGCAAGTGGTTCTGATAATAACGATAACACCTCCCACATACTGGCAATCAGGGATAAAGGATGCAAGCACCTGTCCGACGCACAAAGAAGACAAGTAGTAGTAAGGAGGGTCTACATAGTGGATATGCCCCTGGTGCTACCTGGAGGGCCAAATTTCACATAATAATGAGTTAATATGTTATTATGCTGTATTTTATTATATATCATACAAATACATTGCCCCATTGGCAGTACTGTATTTCTTATGTCCCTTTGTACGAAAAGCTAACAACCACTTCTATTCTTTTTGTATTTTTTCTTTTGTTTTTAATTGGATTTTCATGTAACGTCTACATCTTGCAGAATGCATATCCGGCACTAGGCATGTGAAGTTGGAACGAAATTGGTCAACATTTTCTTCAGCCACAGGTGGCAGAAGTTGTATCGTTTATTTTTAATTGGCCGATTTATTTTCAAATTTGAAACTATTTTCTTTGTCTCTTTAGGTTGTGTTGATGAATGAGGACCAGTTGAGAGCCTTATCACTTATATATGGGCAATAAAGTTACTGCAATATATATATACATGTTTGTTATCCCTAACCTATCCCTATATTTTTTGTTTTTTTGGGTGGTTATTTTTTCTTGACTTCATTTCAACACATATTGACCTACAACTTTCACTTATTCGAGTACGAATACCAAGCAATGGTAATTAAAACATTCAAGAAAATTCATTAATAAGAACTACCATATTCATTGTCAATAACTTAAAACTTCTATTATCTCTAAAAAAAAATTTCAACTTTGAGACAGCTTCAAAAATTCAGTTTCTGACCGATTCTCACAATTTTTACATATTATGTGCAAAGTGCTTAGTTCTAAAAATTTTTCACTTTCGTTTAGTCATAAACCTATTATTTTTGGAGTTATTAATTTTTTTGATCTAAATTTTGCAAATATTTTGATGGCCATATTGAAAAAATCTTTTACAGTAAACTATACTCTCAAACAATATTTTGTAGCGAGCAAACTGAACGTTATATGCCATTCTGAGACCACATTAAATAAAATGACATTTGATGACATTTTAACACTTTCGCCCGGGCATGACGCAGCATTGCGTCATCCGTTTACTGTCGGTAATACCGGGGATGACGCAGCATTGCGTCATCCACTTTAAATAATCGCCAAAAATCAGGTTTTTATCCGATTTTTTGGGGACTGGTTTTAAAATGTGCGCCGATGTCTTCCCATTTTCTCTGTTGAGCCTCGTGGTCCTCAGGTGGCTTGGCACATGCCGTGGGCCCATTGTTTTCGCTCCACTGTTGTGACCAATGTCGCCTCCCCTCGCATCTCAAACGTGTGAACATTTTGGCTATTTTCCGTGGCTATATTTCTTACTGCAGCTTTAGAAACTATCTACCCTTACTCCACGATGGATAGTGATCATGAACAAGGCCCTTCCAGGAAGAAAATTGCGAAAGAAAGGCTTGAAAAGGGAGGGAATTGGGAGTGTAGCTGGAAGGCGTCTGAGCGCTCACTCCCGGCTAACGCGTGGCCCGTCTTCAACTCGTCGGCGGTTGGAGCGTGACCAGGTTTTATATTTTATATGCTAATGTTCTTCTAGAAAATTCTATTGCGAACCCATTGAGACCATAATGAAAGACCTAGGACAAAAATTGAGGTGACCAGAGTGAAAATAGTGAAAACATTTTATTGCGTTTGCGCGCTCCTGGGTAACTCGTTCGCACTTTCTCTGTTTGCTGCAGGTAATTAGCCGGGCTTTTGGAGTTTATATGCATTTAGTGCTGTAGAGAATTCTATTGCGAACACAATGATACCAAATTTAATCTTGTAGGACGAGAATTAAGGTGACAAAGTTGAAGAGAGTATACACTTTTCAGAATTTACGCGCGCTCCCGTGACACCCTGGGTCCCATATCGCACTATTGAGGGGTGGCGTGCGGGGTGAGCGAAAGTGTTAATACTCTTAAAGCAATTTGAAATTTTGACATTTTTTAATGATTTTTACTATTTTATTTTTAATTTTTTTCTGTTCATGGTATGATATGATGATGATCCATTAGGAAAAGTTGGAGCATTTACCATGAAGATACTATTTACAAAGAATCGAGTGTGTTTGAGGAAGTTTCAGTGCACTGTCACCGGGCCCCTTAAACACATTGGACATAACCTTACTGAAACCAACATGAATACTTAACACTCACCCACTAGCTAGGCAATAATGAGATAAGTAACACTTAGTGAGCCAGCCAGAAGCTTTGGGCCCACACAGGAATATCTTCATGAAGTGTAATAGTGAGGGCAGAGTTACCATCATCATCATCCCTGGTGTAAGAGTAAGTTTAGACTTAGGCCACAATGGGATAGGTGCTTATGTGTCCTGGTGTTCCCATCAGGGAAGAACTCGAAGCCTTGAAACTACATGTCGCCTATCAGTAAAAAACAACCTTGTCGTGTAACAGGTTAACATAGTACAACAGATGCTTGGCAACTCATACAACCTACCAGAAAGGCATGTGCTGAATCCCTACCCCACACTTAGAACCAAATGGAAGACAAATGATACTCAGTGACACCAGAAGATAGCGGCATTAAGCATACTATAACCTCTGGGTAGTTGAACAAAGTCATGCATAATTGCAGCACTATCTTTCAGTGAATTCTGGCAGGCAAAGAGCCAGAAATCAACCATGTCCTGAGACTTGGACATGGTATATCTGGAACCCACCAAGCCCTGCCGACCCCTGGCAGCTCTTTGCCAAGCTGGTTTCCCTCTCTTCAACCTAAGATTGAACCAGAAAATGTAAGAAATCTGTGAATAAATAAGCAACCACTATATCATGTTCTTCTATATAGTTCTTAAATAAAAATTAATATTACCCATTTAAATAAAAACCCATATCCACGGGTTATAATATTACATTACTGTATAATTATTATCGCGACACAATGGGCAAGATCCCAAGATATTATCCTGAGACCCCTGCCATGCAGGAGTCAGACAAACAGTGGTCCCGGTAGTACAGTCGGGTTCATTCTCGACTCATAATCAAGAATTCTGGGTTTGAATGCCAGGTGGGACAGAAATGGTTGGGTGCATTTCCTAGCATCTAATGCTCTGTTCACTTAGCAGTAAGTAGGTACCCAGGAGTTAGTCACCTTGTTGTGGGGTTACATCCTGGGAAGTGGTCTATAATTTGACCTTGGGGTGGGGGAAGAGGCTTCGATATAAGCCTAATGAGTATAAACATACTTTGGCTGCCTTTCCCCTGACACAATGAATTAAATCCAGTCAGCGTCGATGTTACACCAGAAGAGAATAAGTACTATAGTGTCAAACAGAAGTGTCACTGTTGTTGTTAAGGGCAGCTATGGGACAATGACGTATGTACCCTGCCAATCTGAATTTGGAGGTGAAGCCAATGGAAGTATATACCCCTTAGTGGAAGAATGTAGCAATCAGCAGGAGATTCCAGCATAGCTCAGATGTGTTAATGTAGTCCTGTAGCGGGCAGGAAGCAAAACTGGTGCAGAGGACAGCATTCCTCATCAAGATGTGCTGTCAAGAGGTAGAGGAGTGTGAGGCAGGGGCGAGGCAGGTTAACCCTTAAACTGCTCAACATCAAGGGGCGGGGAAGCTAAAAACATTCAAATTATATAAAAATTACTTAAAAATGTTAAATGTTAAACAAATCTCCAACTTATTGGCTTCAGCGTCGTGAAGCTTTCATCAAAATATTTTCAAAAATTGATTTTAGACAAATACTTAAAAAAAAAATTATCCAGCAAAGAACTCGGTTGTGACCCATAGTGGCCGTAACAATTAATAAGGAGAACAGCTCCTATTAACTGGAACAGATGGATAATGCAATAATAAAGAGATGCAAGCACCTGTCTGACACACAAAGAAGAAAAATAGTAGTAAGAAGTGTCCACAAAGTGGATATACAGCTGGTGCTGAGTGGACAGTGCTTGGGACTCGTAACCTAGGGTCTGGGTTCAATCCCTGGCAATGGCAGAAAACAAATGGGCAGTTTCTTTTACCCTGATGCCCCTGTTACCTAGCAGTAAATAGGTACCTGGGAGTTAGACAGCTGTTATAGGGTTTCTGAGGGTGTGTGTATTTCTGAAAAAAAGTTGATTGATTGACAGTTGAGAGGCGGGTCGAAAGAGCAGAGCTCAACCCCCCCAAACACAACTAGGTGAATACAGAGAACACTGGGGAGTCCTAGGAGTCCCTTAGGGTGACAAGCACCGGCCCCGCCATACACAGAGAACACTGGTGAGCCCCAGGAGTCCCTTAGGGTGACAAGCACCGGCCCCGCCATACACAGAGAACACTGGTGAGCCTCAGGAGTCACTTAGGGTGACAAGCACCGGCCCCGCCATACACAGAGAACACTGGTGAGCCTCAGGAGTCCCTTAGGGTGACAAGCACTGGCCCCGCCATACACAGAGAACACTGGGGAGTCCCAGGAGTCCCTTAGGGTGACAAGCACCGGCCCCGCCATACACAGAGAACACTGGTGAGCCTCAGGAGTCCCTTAGGGTGACAAGCACCGGCCCCGCCATACACAGAGAACACTGGTGAGCCCCAGGAGTCTCTTAGGGTGACAAGCACCGGCCCCGCCATACACAGAGAACACTGGTGAGCCCCAGGAGTCTCTTAGGGTGACAAGCACCGGCCCCGCCATACACAGAGAACACTGGTGAGCCTCAGGAGTCCCTTAGGGTGACAAGCACCGGCCCCGCCATACACAGAGAACACTGACCAAAGAGCTAGAGCTCAACCCCTGCAAGCACAACTAGGTGAGTACTGGGGAGCTAAAGCAACTGAAGTATGAGGAGGTAGAGGTGCGCGCCAAGGTCACAGCTCCTCACCAATGTCTCCCACATGCTCCTCACCAATGTCTCCCACAGTCTCACATGCTCCTCACCAATGTCTCCCACAGTCCCACATGCTCCTCACCAATGTCTCCCACAGTCCCACATGCTCCTCACCAATGTCTCCCACAGTCCCACATGCTCCTGCAGCGCCTATTCAATGTATACAAACACACTTTCACAAATGACTAAACAAAAATCCTCGTTAATTTGATCTTACTAATTTTAGTCAGTCATATAATATTTTAGTTTAAATATTTAAATTATAATACAAATACTATTTTCTGATTCTAAAGTTGATCTTGTTAATTTACTGTTGAATGTACAAGATGACGTCATGCGTCTTAGCGGCCATTGACCAAACGACTAAAGTAACATCAGTTGATACTTTATATTAATTTACCTGAAAGCCACTAAATAGTGGCCTCTACGAGGACAGGAAGCCGGCAACTTGTCAAATGTCCCCCCCATTTGTCCTGATTAGTTTTTCAAGCTGGATTTTAAAGTTCAGCAGAATTGTGTCATTTACGGCTTCGGCGGGTAGGCGGTTCTATGGGTTCAAATCAAATCAAATGTTTATTCAGGTAAAAGTACATTCATAGAGGATTAGTTACAAACATAATGTTGGATTTATAGATAGAGCTAGTACATACAATACCTAAAGCCACTGGTACGCATAGCGTTTCGGGGGTGGGGAAAAAACACTTAGACTAACTTAATAGTAATTGAGCTTAAAGTATAAAATGCGTTGAAAGAAAAAAAGATAAAAAAGGGGGGGTGGAACATGGTAGAAAATAGCCAAAAAACAGTTCCATTTGGTCCACGGGGAGACATCTCCCGTCACGCAGGGTGCAGTTGCACCTCCACAGATATACAGTATCAGCTCTTGATACTGGTAATGGCTCAAAAGGGCCACCACTTACGGGCTATTCATGCCCGTGCCACCTTTTGGGTGGCTTAATCTTCGTCAATGAATCAAACAATCATCGAGTAATCAGTATTCAATAATCTGAATATAGAGAGACATTGGAGTAGCCATACACAGACTCAGACTTGGGTACAAGTGCTGCTGGGAGATAATGAACCCAATAGTTAAAGAGTGTCACATCTGTGGAACAGAAGCAGAGGCGCCACTGTTGCACTACTTACTGGACTGTGAAGCTACTGAAGCCCTGACCATCAAACTCAACATTAACCCAACGACAGCAGCTGCATTAGATGCACATTCCACAGCGACTACAATGATTAGAAAAAGCAGTTGAAGAATGGGACTCACTAGTGAGCATTCTGCATCTACATCCGCCACCAAGATAATAATATAAGTATATACTCCAGTATGTTTCTGTGAATAATACAATTTCTCCCACCCTACCCATCAACATTGGTGTTCCTCAGGGCAGCATACTTGGCCCTCTCCTCTTTCTCATCTACATTAATGACCTTCCAAATGCCTCCCAACACCTCAAACCAATTCTATTTGCTGACGACACAACCTTCATTTACTCCAGTCCTGACCCCCTTGCTCTAAATGCCACAGTAAATACTGAGCTAAATAAAGTCCATCTTTGGCTAACTGCCAACAAACTCACCCTTAACATTGACAAAACTTTCTATATTCTGTTTGGCAATAAATCCTCTAATCAAATAAATCTCAAAATAAACAATACCCAAATTTGTAACAAATTAGATGGCAAATTCCTTGGCATTCTCATTGACCACAAGCTGAATTTCCAGGGACACATTCTAAATATATCAAAAAAAGTTTCAAAAACTGTGGGCATTCTTTCTAAGATCAGATATTATGTACCACGCCCTGCCCTGGTGACTCTCTATTACTCCCTTATCTATCCATATCTCAACTATGGTATTTGTGCTTGGGGCTCTACTACCCAAAATCATTTACGTCCTCTAATTACTCAACACAAAGCTGCTATTAGGACAATATCCAACTCTGGCCCCAGACATCACTCGGTACCCCTACTCAAATCTCTGAATATGTTAGACATTAAGTCACTGCACATTCTCTCATGTGTATTATACATATATAAAACGCTAAACTGTAATGCCAATCCTGACCTCAAAAGCTTCATAGAAGGTTGTAACAGAACCCATGAGCACCACACCAGAAATAAATACAGTTTTGATATTCCAAGAGTACGACTTAAGCAAACTAGAAATACTCTACAAATCAAGGGACCCAGAATGTGGAATGACCTTCCCAACCATGTTAAAGACTGTACCTCTCTCAACCAGTTTAAGATAAAAACGAAGCTATACCTAATAAATTCCCTGTAACCTACCTTACCCCTCTATTGTCAACCAATGTCTGTTTTTTTAAAGAGCGCTGTTTGTTTGGCTAGATAAGAGTAAAGCTGCTTGTAGATTAGTTTTTCAAATACTTTTGACAAGTTTGGCAGGATTGATATAGGTCTGTAGTTGTTAACATCTGTGAGATCACCACATTTGTGGACAGGCGTTACTCTCGCTTTTTTTTAGAATATCTGGAAAGGTTTGGAGTTCAAGTGACTTGTTGAAGAGCAATGCAATAGCAGGGGCTAAAGTTCTGGAGGCTTTTTTGTAAATTAAAGTTGGTGTCTCCTCAAGGGCACTAGACTTGGTTTTAAGGGGTTTGACTTGGTTTAAGTTATTGTTATTGTTATTGTTAGTGTTAAATAATGTTATTAAAGCAAGACTAAAACCAGTGCACTAAAACAGAAGAGAGAAAGAAACAGGGAAAAAGAAGGAAACCCCACCTACATTTAAAACCTTGACCCAAATATCACAGTAACAAGGTTATCGCGAATAACTGAACTCAATTACGGGCTCACCATAGCCCGTGCTACATGGACATTTCGTTCTGAGTATCTAAAGCTAAAACAACAAGAACAACAACGAGTAATCTACGGTCTCTCTCTTGGGTGGCTTAATCTTCATCAATCAAGTAATCTTAATCTCTTCTTAATCTAATCTTCTTTTTTTACTGACTATTCATGCCCGCGCCACCTCACGAGTGACTTAATCTTCACCAATCAATCATTCCCACATTATCGGAACTGTTGAAGAGCAAAGAGTAAACTTAAAACATTAGCAAACCTTCAGCCCCAGTCCAGCTTCATCATACTCTTGCAGAATATGCTGACATGCTCCTAGCTCAATGGTCTAGTGTCTCACAAATGTCTTCCTTACCCCCAGATATACAGCAGCATTTAAGACATACCAACATTAACAGAAACTTTAATATTGAAATAGCACGTTCCTCACCAGATTTAACAGATCAGTTTGCTATAACTTCTTTGAACTGACATTAGCATTAGGGAAGCCTAAACAAACTGCCTCTGGTGAGGATGGTATAACTTATAACACCTTGAGCTTACTGAATGATGTCCCTAGCCACCCTCTGCTTGACCTCTATCATACCAGCCTCTCACAAGGTATCTTGCCAAAGAAATGGACACAAAGTCTCATAATACCAATTCCTAAACCTAACTCTCAAAAATTCAGACCCATTTCCCTTACATCTTGCATGTGTAAAGTCTTGAAGTCGGACCAGACAATGTGATGTACTCATTGCGGTAATTCGCCTTGGCTATAGACACATCTGGCAGGTTAGTGAGGCTGAGCCACTACCAGAATACTCAGATTGTAAACTCTGAGATAAACCTTTAATGCATTCACTAGAACACTATATTGATGAATGTGAAGCCGTAAAGGACTGTAGACCTCCTGGCCTCTTGTACCACCAACTGTGTAACTATTTTATTGACTCAGGTGTTCTGGACGACATCCTAACAATTTATCCAAAATTTGCTTGTCCATTTTAAAGAATGAAGAACAATTTTATTTATATTACTTTTAAGTTGCATCAGTTATGAACCCATCCCTGCCCTTGTGTGGCAGTGCACAGTAGAAAGTTGTTCTCACATATCCATACATTAAAACATTGATTGTAACCATGATATATATGTGCTTCAGCCTACAGTTTAGACCTATTGTCTTATATATGACCCTCTGTCCTGCGTGACAGTGAATACCAGTATTACCCTCACTTTAATAAGACTTAATTGAAATACAGAAAACCCTTTTACCATGTCGTAGCTCAGTCGATTAAGGCAGTGACTGGGATGCTCCCGGACGCAGGTTCGAATCCTCGTCGCGGCCCTTGTGGATTTATTCACTTAATTGAAATCCTCAGATTAGGCAAAATTGTAATTAAATTTTGTCAATAAAGATGTTAATAATAATAATAAAAGTATAATTTCCACAGTGGTTGAGAGCACAGACGCTTGAGAGTTGCCACACACCTTCGACCTCAAGAGTGTAGCACTCGGAGTATTCAGTTCCAACCGACCCCAAGATGCTTCAGTTTCGACACAGAGCAGACAGTAGACTCACGCCCCCCTCCTCAGCCAGGCATGGAAGGATATTAAAAGAATTAAAGGCGATAAGATCGGCCAAGTAGCACACCCTCACCCTCTACACAGAGCAAACGAGTTAGTCGATGCTTGGGCAACCACCTCTAGCTTCAATAATCTTCCCCTAGACATACAGTTCAGATTAAATGCTGGTTACGGAGATCGAGAAAGGCTCGTTGACTTCATGCTCCACAAGGAAGATGAATGCAACGTGCCATTTTCTGAGTTTGAATTACTCGCGGCCCTAAACAAAGGCAAAGCCACATCCCCCGCTGAAGATGGTATCACTTATGACATTGCGTCTGCTCCCTTTAGTACCAGGGAATCCCCTGCTTGAGCTGTATAATATGAGCTATGTTACTGGGGAGCTTCCTAACTCTTGGACCAACAGTATAATCATTCCAATTCCCAAGCCAAATCAAGAGAATGCTTTCCGCCCAATTTCCCTTACTAGCTGCATTTGCAAAACATAAGAACATAAGAACAAAGGTAACTGCAGAAGGCCTATTGGCCCATACGAGGCAGCTCCTATTCTATAACCACCCAATCCCACTCATATACTTGTCCAACCCGTGCTTGAAACAATCGAGGGACCCCACCTCCACAATGTTACGCGGCAATTGGTTCCACAAATCAACAACCCTGTTACTGAACCAGTATTTACCCAAGTCTTTCCTAAATCTAAACTTATCCAATTTATATCCATTGTTTCGTGTTCTGTCCTGTGTTGATA